CAGCGACTACGCCTGTCAGCCTTTCTGGCTGACCCACTTTTGTTATTATTTACTTTCAATATTCGTTTTATATTTATGAATACGTACTCTCTTGACAAATAGAAAATCAGCCAATGTGCTGTCATTGCTGCTATTGTTGTTATTCTGTTGGTTCACACACCACACACACACACACACACACACACACACACATGGCATACAGTAGCTGTCAGAAGTGACTTCGCTGATGGTGGCGATGACGCAGACGATGACGGTTTCGATGACGTCGCCATCACCCGCCATCACCACAAAAAACAAACCGTGCTATTAATTTTGACTGCCTTATCGCTCGCTGTCTCGCTCGGTCGGCCAATTGCCAATCTAGTGCCTAGACAGCCGAGCTCAAAGCTATTGTTTTGTGAGCTCTGTGGGGCCTCCAGTGGGGCCATAGCTGTCAAATCGCTTAATGATCTGCGCTCAAGTTCGTTTGACTACAACCGGCTATGACTTCGACTGTGGCAGTGCCGGGGGCTGCAGCAAGTGCAAGTGCAGGTCGCGCTTGAATCGTTTTGGTGGGCGTTATATCGCTTAGAATACTCGTAGTATGTGGATGTAAATTATATGACAAAGACAATAATTTGTAATGAAAATAGCAAGTGGGCATGGGTAATAATTTCGGTTGTTACAGCACAACAAACAGTGAATAGATCGGTAAACTCTGTGGTTTATTTGTCATTATTTCATTTCTAAGTAGTGCCTTACATTATAATACGAGTGTTTAGTGGATGTTTGTAGGTAAAGACAATCGGCTTAAATTCCAGCGCTCAAGCATAGTTACTATTTAGTTTCGGCTCAATAAGTTCCTATTCCAGTAATCAACAAAGTAGATAATCAATTTTGCATCATTTTTTTGGGCGTACTTGTATTATATAAATTACATTTCCACGAAAATAAAGTAACTAAAACTGGTCTTTTTAAACAAAAAGGCAAAAAGGTGGACTCCAAATTATTACTCTATACAATATATACTCTTATTATAGTAAACATAGAATAAAGTAGCAATAATTCTAGCAAAATTGTTTAATTTTTCACTTTTTTAACAGATTTTCCCGGGAATTCCAAATGCTTGCAAGTCGTTAAAGTAATTTATTTGTTACATGCTTTATTGTTTTGTTTTTAACAAAAATAAGAGTTCCATTTTAGAGGATCTGTTTTAGTTTTGTAACCGATTTCGTTCAGGTTAGTTAATACTTGTAAGACAAGATTATTTTTTGCCGCTTCTATAGTATTTGGGTTTGACAACTTTGGGGCACCTCCGAACCCTTGTCAATGGGAAGTGGCAGTGGCATACACAAATTTCAAGGCAATCAGCAACACAAGACAACGTTGACAATTACATAATTACCAACTTGTGTTGGCAATTAACTCGAGAGTACCCACAGAAGTGGGAGCTGGCGGCAAGCCCGCCTTGCCGGTAATTTGTAACATTGATTGATGGCACTTGAATCGAATTAAACGTTACCCGAAATCAAAAAGCAAAACGTCATTCTCGCCCTTAACTTCTAATATTTACAATCACAAATAATGGATTTAGCATAGCATTGATCGAATTGCCAACAACAACAGTAATAGATAGCAATAACAACAACAGCAGCAGCAACACTTAGAATTCAATGTAAAAGAGCGCCTCACAAATTAAAAGGGGTTTTCTCTTTGAAGGGCGAACGCATTGAAAACAACCACAGATTTAACTCAATAAAAATCAATTAAAAACTAATAATGGCTTGCTAATAGTTACAACAAATCAAGCACACCAACAATAGCAGTAGTCAGCAGTCAATGGCCCATAATTTAAATTTTCTTTTTCGTTTTTTTTAGTTCTTTGACCGCCACAAGGTTACCAAAATCGAGGGTTGGGGTGGTTCGTATTCTGGGGGTCGCGTTGAGTTCAACGATTATTAATCAAATGCCACTTTAATTATGCAAGTTGTAAAATACGAAACACAGTCCCAATGTAATAATTTTCGTCTCCGTCTGCGTCTTCAATTAAAATTCGTTCCGCTGCGCGCGGCTTTTTCGATCAAATTGATGAACTAACTGTCCAAATTGAAAGTTTACGAGCTCGAAGTGTTTCTGTTTTTGGCCGCAGCCGCACTCAAAGCTCTTCCCATTCGTTCTTTCGGCTCTTAATCGAAAGTCAAGTATAAATTCATTGATGAGTCGCAAACACTCTTTATTTGATGGGCTGTCGAATGTCTCTGTCTTTCAGAATTCAACTCCACAGCGTGTTCACAGCCCATCCAAATGGGTCTCATCGCTTTTATTGTGTCGCTTAAATAAATACGACTGTTTTGTTAAAGTCATTTTCTCTCCAGCATCCCAGATGGAGACATCGCCATACGAATCGCCGCAGTATTCTATTTTCTTCTTCAATGTGCCGAACAACTCTTGGTTTTGGTTGCCTTCCTTGTTCTGGGCGATCTGATAAAAGTATTTTATTATTCCATTTTCGAGATCGGCGTGGGCGTCTAGCAAAATTTGCATAATTAGCGATTTTCAACAGTTCATTATAGATAGAAGCGTGCGTCGTGTTGGCCAAGTTTGTTTACAACTGATAGATGTATACTATATGTGCTGTTCGCTTGGGGAACTGCAGAAACTACTTGATTTTGTATTAAACCGTCATTGAACTTGCTGTTTAACCAATATCAAACAAATTACTAATACAAAAACCAACAAATTTAGCTGCTTGTTGGCATTTCCAATCCGTTTTCAATTTATTGTGCAAATATTGGCAAAGTGACATCACAACGCGTTGTTTTCGGCCGGCAGCTTAAGCCAAATAAGTCAAAGAGACGTCGTTAAATTTTATTTGACAATCGTTTAAATAGGCAAGTGAGCAACAACAATAACAACAAGCAAGCACACATGGTTCGGAAATGCGTGAAAATTCTCAGAAGCCAATGTTGCATAAAGGCAAAGAGCAAGCCACCGATGGTAGCGGCAAGCTTTGATAATGTCTATAGCTTAAAAATCCATAAAAATTGCCAAAACAAAAAAAGAACTAACCAACTAATACATTAAAAGCGATCACAATTAGTCATAATGCTGTGGTGGACTTTCAGAGACCGGAAGCAAATTTATTATAAACAAAAGAGAATGTTAGGCGCATATCGAAGAAATATGCTTCCTGCGTCGGAGGTGTTTTATTCAGCTTTTTCCAAAAATTGCACAGGCCCTTAAAGCTCCTGAATGCAGGCTATTAGTGTAGTTTTATTTTCTTAATCTCAATTTACAATTAAACACAAAATTTGTTTTGGCCAGATAGGCAAATAATTTGCATACATTGTCGTGAAGTTTATTTAATTTCCATGAAAAAGCAATAATAATTCAAAACTTATCTTCTTCAGGCATACTACAATTTATTGCCCTTTTATTTTTGAACTCATATAGGATGTGAGATGCTGAAATTGTACTTCAGTTCGTCAAAAAGTTATGAACAGAATTTAAGTATGTTTCACTCAAAACAGAGAGAGTTATAGGAACGTTTAGAATCTGTTAAGCAAATAACTGCTGTTTTTCATTACTAATTCCTTAAAGTCTATTGAAATTATAAGAAAATATCCAAAGTACAGAACACAAATGTTAATTATTTTTCGTAGGCTAATCTGCTTATCTTATGAATCAGAATGAAATATTTATCACCGTAACCTGAAGAATGAATGGATAAACTACAAAGTCTGAATAAATGTGATAGAGCTGCCAAATAAACAGTGTTTATGCAAATTTTTGCGATTCTCTCCAAAATAAAATCGATTAATCGTTAACTGAACAAGATTAAATTTTGTTGTCGTTTTCGATGAGAAAACACAGTACCAGCGTCACCTTAAAGTATTGATGCGCATTTGAGCTTATACGATTAATTAATTCTCCAAAAACCAATAGATTTTCAATATGTTAAGCCCTGATTACATTTCTTCTGAATCAATTCTCTTCGCACCTCTATTATGTAACACACAGAAGAAGACGTTTCAGACCCCACATTATAAGTATATTTGATATGAGACGAATGGATATAGATTAGTCCGTATGAACTCCAAGAATTCATTCTTGACTGGTCTTCTATTTATGCAGACCAATCGGTGTGCAATCTCTCGTACTAGAATTACTTTGTTGTTTATGAAGATATCTTAGTTATAATATAACATTTAGCTGAAGAAAATGGCGCAGAATTTACGTTCTACTCATGGTTTTAATTTTGTTTTCGTATAGTTGTAGTCCCGAAAGTGCCAAATGTGTAAGGATGTGCTTTTCAAAAAGTATCTACATACTTATAGTACAAAGTTCAATGACGACAGTTTATAGCAATAAATTCAATTCGAATACGAATTGTGCCTTAAATGAGGGAAACAAACACGCCGTCTTTCCACAAACATGTGCCGCATTCGCAAGATGCCTGCAATGTGGTTGCCATGTTGTCGCCACCGCAACCACCTCAGAGTTTGCGGTGCCACTAAAATGGCCCAATTAAAAATGCAGGCGCACATTTCGCCAATTCAGGCAATGTCAAGGCATCTCCAGCTCTGGCTTCACTTTCTGCGCAAGCACATTTACATACGATATGTATATATGTATGTACATGAACATGTAAACAAACAGCAAGAAAAATAAGACTGCGTCTAAAATTAGAGCAGACAGTCAGGCAATCAGCCAGAAAGCAAAGTACTCGTGTGTGCGCATTGACAGATCAGAGTGGCAGCCAATGCGGCAGCAACTTTCCAGAAACTTTGGCACTGTCTTGGAACCGCAAGAGGTCAGCACAGACATTGAACTCTTGGCTGATTTGATTTGATTTGATTTAGTAGGCTGCCAGGTCATGGGGGTTATAAATTATCAATGCATTTTTGCCCATTTATTTACGAATATCTTCCCATTTACTTACAGGCAAAAAAAAAAAAAAAACAGCGACTCATCCAAACCAATCCTATAGAATCGAGCCCAACCCAACCCAACCCAATCCAACCAGAACCTCAACCAACGGAACGACCGCGGGGACGGCAAGTGAGGCGCATGCAAATTCATAAGAATTGCCTCCAGCTGCAGCCTGCAATTTGCTGAGGCACATAGATACTCGCACAGTTGCTGTTGTAGCTGTTTAGGCGCTGTAAGCAGATACAACCCGACAGATAAGCAGCACCCGGCACATTTCCGCACTCTGCACAGTGGGTCGACTCCAACTCCAGCCGCGACTGCCAGTCTAACTGACTGCCAGCCAGCCCCACTGTTTGTTTATTAGTCGAGTTGGCGTTATTTTTGTTGCACTCTGGCAGACAGCCGACGCGCCACAAGATGCCGAGAATTTAGCGGAAAAGAAAATATATCCAAAGATACTATACATAGTGCAACGAGCCAAAACAAAGTGCTGGCCAACAATATTTTGAGAGTGCGAGTGCACGAGTGAGCGAGTGTTGAGCAACCGCCAAATACATTCTAATAAAAAGCCAGATAGCCAAGAAGCTCACCATCCAACCAGCCAACCAGCCAACCAGCCATCCAGCCATCCAGCCGTTCAGGCAGCCATCGTCACAATTTCCCCAGCGATCTCAACAGTGCGTAAATAAATAAGGAAACACATTGCAACAGAAGTGCAAAACATTTTGAGGCATCTGCAATAGGTCGGAGTGTGGACGTCGTCGATATCGGCTGCGGAGTCTGGAGGCAAGGTGTCCGGGAAAAGCAACGAGCTGTACACTTTTGGCACCATGGAGGGCGGTTACGTCAACGAAGGTGAGTGCTAATCTTTAATTGGTTCTCCGATGTATCATCAGGGAGGTGTTCAAAGTGCTGCCAGCATGGATCGCTGTTCATTTTTGTGGCACTTTGCTTAGCCTGCCTTTGAGTTTGTATCTTAATTTTAATTGAATCTTTGCGGGCTGTTTATTGATTTACACATATGGGCATGCTTTGGGCTTTTTTTATTTGGTTATTGCTTTGATTATTCAATTCTATTGGATTTTTATTGATTTTTTACGACGTAGGCCTATTCATTCATAGTCATCGAAGACCAATAGACCATAGACCTTCAGACCAATTTGACTTCAGACTCCAATTTGAAACAAGTTCTTTTATATTGAGAATAGAAGCACCGGCTTTTATACCCTCTACTCACAAGGTAAAGGGTATACTAGTTTCTGGCTACTTTTCAGAATTAAAATATGTATTGAGTCTCTTCAGTGCTATACTTATTAGGGATCTATTTGCTTTATACGGAACATGTAAGCTTGTAATTAGCGAAAAAGTGTAGCATTAATTCTTTATATATATATTATCACTATAATTTCAAAATATTTGTATCAGAACTTCAATTCGTCATTATTTGTTCGTCGGATGAACTCAAATAATATTGAAACTAGAAAGTGCTTACATAATTTAAATGTTCTTTTACAAACTTCAACAATAAATAGATGGCGACTGGCTTTTGCGAATGTGTTTTATTACCGGTTAACTATTTATAGCCATGTACTAACGTGGCCACGCACATTTGAATGCACTTAAGAGCATCCGAATTTGCATAAGCAAGTCGATCCAGTCCGCAGTCGCCATCCCCATCCCCATCGCCATCCCCATCGCCATCGCCCACCTACTCGTAAGGTTGACAGCCGATAGTTTGCTGCAACAAAGAATGCACATTTTCGTTCTTGTTCCTATAAATATGTATTTGTTCATCTATTTCGACATTCTGTTTGTTGTGTTTGCTTTTCCCATCTGCCGTTTTGTATCTTTAATTTGCATTTACACCTAAATATTTTCGCACAATGCAAAAGCACGAATGCGAATTCATTCAAAAATAAAACAGATGTGGACCCGATCAGAAACAGCAACTTGCGCGCCTGTCATTGCCCGGCAACGCGAAATGTGAAATTTGACTTTGAATTTGAAATGTGCCTCTGCAATTTATGTACATAGTTCTGCTTGCACAGTGACACAAAATGCACTCGAATTCAAATGTCACTTCTCTCGTCATTAGTCATTTGTCAGCGCAATGAGGCAAAGCGCAACGTTTGTTGTATTTGCATTTATGAGAGTATTTTTTGGCAAGCATTTTGTAAATAGAAATAGACAATTACGTTACCTGCTGAGTGAGTCAGTGAACTAATAAACATTTGCATTATAATCTCCTTACCATGTCTGTACACTAATAGAGGACTCGGATGCCATAATGGGGGTGGAAAGTCCAGGTAAATTCAATATATTTATATATTAACCATATAATTATTATTGTACTACATCTACCACACAATTGGCCCCACTCTATAAAACAAGAAACGACCCACTCAATTATCGAAATGATGCACACATATAGTAAGATTACCCGAATGCATCGTATTAGGTTGGGTTCATTGGGGTCGGTACCTTCAAGTGACATTATTTCGCCGACAGAACCAGAACCAGCGAGCTCATTCACTCAATTACACAGATGATGTCTCCATTTATTCTCCACACACATCTACTACAAGCATATCTGTGTCTCCACTGATGTAACTTACCGCACATTTGGTGCGACTGGCTATCTGTGAGATACGCGAGCCGGTTTGCTCTGGCCGTCCCGTCCCGTCCCATCGCCCACATTTTGTTGCTGCTCATATTATTGTTGTTGCGCCAAGAAGCTGATTCTAATACTTTTATAAAAAATAATTCTGTATTAGTGAAATGAACCTTCGATGATAGTTTAAAATGATTCAACAAAATTTAACAGAATTATATTTGATGGGATTTAAATAAATAAATAAATATTTGATGGGTAAAAGATTAGAGAAACAAAATAATTTCGAAAATAAGTAAAAAAAAAAAACGTATTGCATTTATTGTAGAAACAGCGGTAACAAATAAAATAATAACCTTTTCTTTTTATCTATAATCGTGTTGTAGGTAGAAAAGCCATAGTTTTGGACTCGTAGTTTTTTCAGCTAAGCTTTCCGAATATTTCCATGTTATCCGCAAAAATGGGAACTTTGGGATAGCTTTTGAAGGTTATTGGACAAAAGGAATTATAAAATTAAGTGCAATCAACTTCTTATAATCGAAAAGTAGTTCTATAAAATTTCGATTTTCTTAAAGCGAATTGTAAAGGGGTTTCCCCTCCCAACATCCTCATTTCTTTCACTGCAGAAAATGTTCGCTGGGATAGATCGTCGTTGAACTGCTTGAGTTGACGGACCATGGCGCTTGGGTGTTAAAATTTATGACGCAGCATTCTAGTTCGATGTCAGAAATGTTCAATATTTACATAAGCGGATTAATTGGTGTAAATAACAATGCGAAATGAGTGGACCAAGAATAGAGCCAGTTTATATTGTATTTGAATAAACAACACAAAAAGAATTGTCATAAAAATAGTTTTTGAAAAACCGTCGGCAGATTTCAATAACTAAGCGCCATATAAGGCAACTGGTTGATAGAGCGCAACCTTACGCGATTTTCATTTTATATTCAATTGCTAAAAATGTAACTGAAATGGTCATAAATTCAAATGGCGCCGGACGTCATGGTTTGTTGTTCCATGTATTCAATAATGACGCGATGTCATATTTTCAAGTAGCCGTGATTTGTGGCCATGGGGCTGAGGCACGTCTCTCGGTGCAAATTCTTTGAAAGCGGCACTGTGCACTGATGCCGTTGCCCGTCACATCGATGCAAGACGAAGACTTAAAATATCTGGGGCAGTGCAACACTTTCGCTCCCAAAAACTGACGCTGATGATGTCATCTTCGTTGCCCAAGTGGCCCAACCTTGCTGCGATGATCTTGAAGGACCGCCTTTGTTGCCATTTATAGTCATCATCTTAAACTTATTTATTAAGATGTATGTATGTGTGTGGGAGTGTGTGTGTGTGTGTGTGTATGTACATGCTTGATCACGTTTTCAAGTAGGGGCGCGATCGCGACACAATGATGATAAATTTGCTGCTTTTGTAGACTGGAGGAACTGCAGTATTAATGCCAAACGAATTTGATTCCTGGAATCTTTCGCCAGACAAAGCCGCAATAAATTTTGTGGTTGAGTTTATATATGTATGTATGTATATGTACATATGTATGTATGTATGCTTAACGATGTGATGTGAGTTTTGGACCACAGCTGCGATGTTAGCGCTGCTAAAATATTTTTGTGCATGCAGAAACTTCGACAGATCTCTAAAAAAATCAGATTTATTATATTTATATGTATGTATGTACTATGCACATCACATTAATTATATTGTATAATACTGTAACGAAAACAGAGTACCCTTTTATAGTACCACCCTCGCAATATCCTAAGTTTTTTAAGATTCTAAGCCTGCCGATGGAAATTCGAAGCCTACTCTATTCGGTCACTGTGGAAAGACTCTGCTTCATCATATTCAGTTCTTGACCAAAAAGAACACATTCCAAATTCAAAATACCAATTGACATTTTGACATTGAGCTGCGTAACTTGATGCATTTGTCGTGTGACTTAATTAAACACCTCTCAAATGAGATACTTATATTAATTGCAGTATTCCAAATGCTCAACGATTCGTCGGCCGGGCAGGCAAAAAGTCGCTTGACAGCTTTATTCGAAACTGTTGGCAAAGCAATTAGGCGGCTTATATGATAACTTGGTTGCTACACATACCTATGTATAGTACATACCTACATATACGTGTATATATGCATATGTATTATCGAAATGTATATATACTAGCTATGCTGCAGAGTGTGGGCAAGCCATAAGCAGAGGTGTTAATTTTGACGCCTCTTTCTCGCTGTCACATGGACTATGCAAATGCAGAACGCTCCGTAGATAAGCAAACTGATACCTTATCACATGTGTATATATCTACGAGTACATCCAATAATACATATGTATGTATGTAAATTCTGCCCACAAAGCACGCGCTCACATTTTTAAAGGTCAAGTTGAAGACTGTTTACCACACACACACAAATTCAAAGCGACTGTAAAACGGCAGAAACAGCTGCGATTACGTAGCCATAAAATAAAAAGAACTTAATGTTCCACTGGCGCTAATAAATTTTGCCACGTAGTACCAACTTTTGCGCGAAACGCCCCGTGTTGTCGTCATCGTTAAGCTTTGGCCAATGCTGTCTGTACAAATTTACATACCCATGAATAGTACAATAGTACACATACATATGTACATATGTATGTACATGCATATGTACATATGTATCGATGTACATACATACATATATATACATATGTATGTTTACAGTTCAAAGCACTCGCAGTCCGAGGTCAATATGAAAACGAATGCTTCGCCAATGTAACCGCAGCCCCAGCGCTCCATTCAGTTTCGTTTTCCTCTAACCGACTTCGCCAGAGTCCGAACCATTAAAACTTTATAGATGTTTGCGTTATAAACACTGACACTATAAATAATCGTCTCGCTCGCATAAATTACTTCTTTCCTATCAAATATCGGACACTAATTGCTTTCTTATGGCGTACGCTCTGCTGGGCCGATTGAGATACGAATTGTTCAATATTGCTTTGTACACACATTCCGGATTTAGGAAATGGGCCACTTTCCGTAATAATAAGTACAAGTATCTTTGTTATTAAAATATAATAATATATAAAATATAATAATAGTCCTAATTAATATTCCAAGTGTGTGAAAAGTCTTCTAAAACTCTGTACCCGAAGGGTATAATTAATATCAATTGACTATTACTATACATTTTAAATTACTTCATCCTTTCAGCACAACATCTAACATTAACAGTTTGCTTTGGTACAATATTTATATATGTATGTACTATAAGTAGGTGGTAGTGTTATTTTCTCCACTATGTTTTCTTTATAAGATGTGTATTACTTTTTGTATTAAATGTTGAGCTTTAAAAAATATGTTCTTCATAATAAGAAGACATTTCAACGTTCGCCAATATGTACGTTTGTAGATTTAGGCGAATTGCTTACCAATTTTCAGTTCACCTCTCTCGTCATACTGGATACTGAAAAATATGGCAAATTGTCTATGCTTGCTCATTAAGTGCTACATTATACTCGTACATACAATCATGTACTATATATACAAGTATTGTAGAGCGATTTGGAAGAATTTCTTTCTGTGATAAAAGCTGCCTGCTGGTTTTAGGCTCACAGCACATAGGTATAGCGCTCGCTTTTGTTTATTTTATCGCTATTATTAATATGAAATTCGCAGCTGTGCGCTGTTTACACGCTATTTTGCTTTTAATCCTAATGTGTCTAAACTGCTTATTGCACACATTTTGTTGTGTGAGCAAAAGTTTCGAGTTTTTCAACACTTTTTAAAGGCGTCTGACTCATAGAAGGAAAAATTAATTAACTAACACTTGACTTTTTAGTCTTCTAAATTATTCACTAAAGAATGATAGTATTTGCTGTTCAGAAATGAAAGAAAAGAAAAATGATAGAAATTAACTAGTACACCTAGCCCTCGCTTCACACGAAATTGCAAAATATTTTGAAGTGCAAAAAATGTTGAAGCAGTCCGTTTCAGTTGTATCCGAAATCCTGATTATAGAGCGCCTGATATACTCGTAGTAGTATGTTTTCAAAGTGCGAACTTTTATTTAAACATTCAGATTTGGCTACTATTAATGGATGACCTGGGGCATATTTCAACAACAAAAGTGAGTTAAAGTAAAAAATATTTTAAAATATTTTCAACTTATATCGTGTAAGAACGAGGTTTTCAGCGTTTTAAAGGAGAAAAAGATAGCAAATTTTTAACCGTGTTAGACCGAGTTCGTATTAAATAGGTTGTGTTAGGCGACTGTAACACTATACATTGATGCTTCCCGACGACTTTAAAAACTTTATGTAACAAAGGAATATAGCCACACAGATATGGCAGACCTATTGCCTTTCGTTCTAATTGGCAATGATTTTTGAACAATTCTCCCTTTTAATTGATCGTCAATGCCACAGACCGTTGAGGGGCCCCATTTCTCCTTCTTTTTGATATCACCTACTGGTCCGATATTCTCTTGGTTGTCACTCCTCATTGGCACCGCCAATGACGCCAACGCGTTGGCATTTCGAGTTCAAGTTCAGCGAGCTGCGCCAACAGTCTCCAAGTTTCCACGTCTCCGCCTGCATTGGCCAACATTTCATGGCAAGAGCAGACACCGACGGCAACTCGGGCATATCTGATCTAAGTGTGTAGGTAAAGTGGAAATATTAAGAAAAACACGTGATTT